AGATCGTCAACTCCATAAGGTCTTGAACCAAATAAGGGTTCGGGGATGAAGATACAAATCCAACCTAAAAGAGATTGAACCTGCCCTAATAATAGGCCTCTACTTTATTCATATCGTATTCATGTGCGCTTCTTGACTAACATGTAATCAATAGGTTTAACCCTAAACCTGTTTATCTATGTTGGTTGAATATAATGCACAAAAAAATCTATTATTCGATCACTTGAAACTATAATCATATTAACCCTAACAAGATTATTAATTATCTTATTAAGCGTGATTACAAGTACAAATACCCTTTAACATGCATAAAAAGGCGTGATCAAGCAATAACAATAAAATTATCAAGCAACATAATAAATCATCAAAACAATTATAACAAAAAATAATCATCATAATAACAATCATATTAATAATAATAATAATCATGTTAAAGCATAGCAAGATCCTAGGCATGATACTAACAAGATTAATGACAAACCCTAGCATGTCACTAAACAATAAAAATCAAATCTTTAACCCTAACATGATGCTAACAATCATAATTATTAGGAAGAATAGGAAGCATCATACTTTTAATCATACTTGATATTAAAGTTTACCTTAGACATGATACTAGGAATCATAATAACAATCTAAATATGATCTCTATATCATAACATCAATTAAACCATTAAAGCACTTACTTTGATGCCTCGTACCTCTTTCTAATAACAAAATACACACGTTAGTAACTTCAAGAAAAATATAAACAAATAATTAAATTAAAAATTGAAAGAGAGATTTGGGACCAAACCCTCAGAAATTAAACCTTTCACGTCTAGGGCGAAGGCAACTTCGAATATGGCTAGGTGTTTCTAGATCTAATGAATGCGAAATTTTTTATGTAAAAAGCGAGTTTAGAAAAAGAGAGAAAGAGAGTAATCAAGAAAATTAATGAGAGTTGGCGAATGATTAGAAGAGAATGAGAATGAGTTGATGAATGAATGAAAACTGGTTGTAGGTGAATGAAAACGGAGTTTTTACGACGTTATTTATAGAGAAAATCAGCCAAAAAGATAAAATTATCAAAACAGAGTCTGGCGCACGTGAAACAAGGTTGGCGCCAACGCTGGCCATTGGCGCCAGACGCTAACCCTAGCGCCAGGCGCTACAGCTAGCGTTTGGCGCTGACCTGGAAATTCACGCAAAAATCTGATAAAAATTGTTGTACAGGAGGATAAAATCGTATTTTCCTCAAAAATGCTCTTTGATTTTAATCAAAACTCTGAAAAGTCAACAAAAGTCAATTTATCAATGCTAATTGAATTAGGAATGAAAAGAACCTTCTAGAAGAATCTAGAAGACTAAAACCATTCCTAATTGCATTAGGAATGATAAATCTATATTAGGCCCTCCCCTAGATCATTGAGCCGCATGTAAGGCTCAAAGCGGGCCCAGTTTAGTAAATTGGCCATAACTTCCTCAATATTCATCGGAATTGGGCTTATAATATATCGATGGAAAGTTCTTGCCAAGTCCCATCCAACTACACTACTATTGGACCCATATCATGGACCAACCAAACTGGATTGGCTGTTTTCTCAAAACAAGTTTTCAAAAACAGAGAGAAGAGAAAAGAAATTAAAACTATCCGCAACACTAGACTTTCCACACTTTCACTTCATTCGATTATGATTCGACGTGAAAGACACTCATCACTGGGTTTGATTTTGGGGAGACACAAATGGGTGTCTAGAAAAAGGCATTATGGAAATGGTTTTACCCTCTAAGGACTGTGTTTTTAGACAAAAAAATGACCAGAAATGCACTTTTCGAGGGATTTTTCGTTTGGACGAAAATTGTTAAGTTTTTCTAACCTTGAAAATTCATTGCATATTTATGGTGGTTATGTATTTGGTTCATTCCTTAATTTATATGCAATTTTAAACCTCTTTAAGCATGGTTACTTAGTAGTAATTGGTGCTTGAAAGTTTGGTTTTATTTTTCACATAATTGCAAATTAATTGCATTATTAAGTGTGAAAATTTGTTCTTTGTTGCTTCCAAGTACTAAAGATTCAATCTTTAATTGTGTTAAGTGATTGAAACTTTGAGTTACTAAATTCCATGAATTTTTGGTTGAACTTTTGATTTAATCATGTATTAAGTTGACTGGAATCATAAAATTTGGATCTTGTAATAGAAATTTCATTTATTTTCATATTGGAAGATATAATTTTTCAAGGATTCACAAGTGTTAAAGTTGGAATTTTTATGTTGAACTTTGTGTTCATATTTCCAACTCCCATTTAAATTTTCAATTATTAATTACGCTAAATTACATAATCAATTAAACAACTTTGACTTGTTTTAAATAGGCATGTTAATTATATTATCAACCTAAATTAGTTACTAGTTTACGCGCGTTTTATGCATTGTTACTTGTCTTATCGTTGTAAAATGCATGGGCCATTCACAAAAAGTGAATGGATGACTGGAATGTATATTCTCTCACAGGTTTTATAAAATGATAACTAGTGGATAGAAAATACGGACTGTGATCCGTGATGTATTTTTGTAAATCTAAATACGGTCTGCAAACCGTTGAGTATATTAGTACCTTAATATCTAGATTAATCCTAATCATAGATACTAGTATTTTCATAATTATGGTCATGTCTTGAAGACGGGGGTTCTTAGAAGACAAAGCCATGAAGTTGCAAAAGCCGTCCCTTGAAGACTTGATGATTCAAGGGGTCATGCTAGTTGTCAAATGCATCTTTATTTATGCATGTTTTCGATATATATTTATGAGTATTTATATATGAATTATATGTTAGATGCATGTTTAGGATTTAGAATGTTGTGATGATTAATTAATTTCACTTAAATCAACCAACATAGAAACCTTAAGTCCCTAAAATATTGAGTAAAACTTGCCATTTCACAACAACATTTATCGACCTATTGAGAGTAGTGATGGGCTACGTCAAAGCGAGGCATCACTATTACTCCCTAGGATTCATAAGGCATACCGGGTATGCAAGTTGGTTTTGGTTATACTCAACGATATGAGTGATGGAGTCCTAACATGTCGTGGTAAAGTGGATAAGTTGTTGTGAGATCATTAGATGCGACGATTTATCCAACCAAGAGTGGCTTGGAGCCATTAGCAAAGAGTTGCTTGCCTTAGGATATTGAGTGTTAAGACAAGCCAAAGCATGCTTAACCACTTCTGTTTCTTTGGATCTTGGAATCGACTTATTCTCGCCAAATGGGGACAAATTTAATGCGTGGATAAGACGTTTAATAAGATTGAAAATTTGCATGAATGCCTTTTAATTTTCAAACTTATTATGTTATTTACTTGATAAATGGTTATACTTTGCACTCATATTTGTAGAATTCCAAATTAAACTATATTGTTTTTCATGTTTGGTAAAGGAAATCTTTTAGAATGGTTCTCAAAGAAAGGAGAGACAATTCTAGAATACAATTCTCACAAATGACTTTTATAAAAGTCCGAAAGGACGGTTGGACATCATGTATTCAAAATACTAGGTTGTTTTTTATAAACATTAAGAATTGAGTTGGAAACTCAAAATTGTCAATGCTTGACAACCAACATATACTTTCGCTTTATATGCTGGTGAGTACAATTCACTGATGTATTAATTCAAGTATAAATTAAAGGAAAAGATGGAACTTTGTTATACGGTGCATTAAATGCTTAATTATGCCTAACAAAGTATGAAAGTCAAAGGCTCTTAAAGAAATAATTCTAAAATATTATAAGATAAAGTATGATAAGAATTATAGAAACGAGGAACATAGAAAAGGAATAAGATTCCATTTTCGCTGAAGAGTCATGTTATTCTAATTAACTTAGCAAGTTATTATCTTCACAAGTATCAGATACTGCTTGAGTATTGCACTTTGAAAGTGACCTCAAACTATTGAATATAAGCTAAGTTATTGACTTACAAGCTTAGAATGTAGCAAGTGGTGCTACATCAGTTGTAAGATAGTATGCTTTGTTTAAAGACCTTTTAAGCTAAGGACGGAACAAATAAATGGTTATTGTGTTCCATGATCAACAAACAATTTGTTAACACACGGAAAGACTCACATTCAAAGTAAAGAGCAATAGTTGCAAATTTCTTTGAATGACATTGTTGTCTAAACCATGAGTCAAGAAATGCTTGATTAGAAAAAACATTTCCCTTACATGAAAACTCACAAAAGTTCAAATCATAAGCATGATTTGTGTTCTGAACATCTTTAGCAATGTCACATTAACAAGAACGTACTCAAGGCTATATAGGCTCTTAGTAATTGATCGATTTGGAATCGTTTTAAGACAGTACAAGCAAGTCTTACTTGTTAAAAATCGACAAAGTAAAGAGCTATTGTTCTTGGTTTAGACAATTGACTCTGAAAGCTAAATAGGATTCAATTACTTCAATGTTTCACGAGAAATTTGAAAGAATATGGCTATATTCATCAAATGTGAACAATCTTTACCTTGAATAGTTCAAGAGTTCAATGAAGTACATCATCGACTTGGCAATGCAAGATATCAAAATGTCTAGATTAGATCGAGCGATGTTGATAGTATGGAGCAATTTTTGAGATTCTTATATAAGTTTTTTCATCTTCATTTATGCATTTTAATTGTATGTGATTTTGGTCATTTTAATTTAGTTTGCTCATATTAATTTAGTTTGCTCATTTGTGAAGGATATAAGCAGAACAACATGTATTAAATTAACCTTGTGAACTATGTACTTCAAAAATAGGCAAAAAATGAAGTGCATAATATAAACTAGTATACAGTTGGTCTCTTATGGTCCAAAAATTGTTTACATTTTTAGATATAGTAAGTTCAAGGTTTCATATTAGTTTGGATATTTTAGAATTGTTGCTCATTTGACAAATGAACGAAGAATAGTTGCCATTTGATAAATCAACAAACAAAACAAAGAAATATTATTTTCTCATTTAATAAATGAACAAATATTATTGCTCATTTACAAAATGAGCAAATATTAATTGGTCATTTGATAAATGAAAAAAAACCAAAACAAATTACGCAAACATTTGATTAAAGAACAAAAAATTGTTTCTCATTTCATAATGAGCAAATAAGTGTTTGCTCATTTGATAAATGAACAAAAAATTATTATTCGAAATGAGCAAAAAAATATATAAATTACATTTCTACCATTACTATGTGAGCAATCTCAACAGTTAGATCATGATGTATCCAATGATTGAGATTTGTTCTCATATATAATAGGGTTATCACTTAAAGATCTATTCACACCGAATCTCTCCCCTTATATTGAAAGGAACTGAGTATTATATAAAAAAAACAATCATAAACTAATGTTTCCTCCCCTCCCCCTTTATAAAGAAAAATAAAATAGAACTTATGCTTAATGGTTTTAATTTGATTAGTTATGACTTAAGATTGATGAGATGTTGATGCCATATCTTCCCCCCCCCCCCCAAAAAAAAAAAAAAAAAAACTAATTGTATAAATTATTGAACAAGAAGTGCAAGTAAAACTCAATCTTTAGATTGGTTACCAACGTTAAGTAGGTCTCTAGGTTCATTAGAAAAAGATGAAGAGTCCAACCAATCTAAATTATTGGCCTTGTAAACGCAACATGAAAATTGTTGCTTAGCTTCTGGTACATCTAAAGCCAAATCATCAAGTGATTCCTCAAATCTTATAAATCCCTTTGTCATTTGATTCACTGTTATAAGCCCTGAATTAAAACACTCTTCGAGCAACTTCCATAATCTTTCATTTTTCTTCTCCACAACAATCACTAATGCTTTCTTCACAACTTCATGATGAAAGAAAGGCATCCCCAACTCCTTTATGCACCGAAATGCTTCCGTTAGCTCGCCTCCACACTCATACTCTTCTAAAAGTTTTCCTATCTTGTCTTTGACATCGTCAACTGTCCACCCATTTCCTTTACTTCCTTCACCACCCCAACACCTTAGAATACGTTCCCCTGAAAGTCGAGCCTTTAAAAGTGATTTAGTCATTTGGATGATCTGATTGCCTTTTGAGTCACACTCCATGAATTGGTTACCTATGTCCTCTAAATGAGAAGGCGATATTACTTCATCGATTACTGCTCTAGCTAGAAACTTTACTAGATCATCAACAATTATAGGATTATCCAAGGCAGTGTCATCAGCTGATTCTATTAGCATTATAAATCCATTTACAACGTCTTCAGCTGGTAAACTTAAGGATGATAGAAGAACAGACGCCATTTCTTTTTCCTTATTCTTACGGTCCATTGCTAGATTGATCAATCTCTTCACAAATACAACATTCAGCTCAGAAGATGATGTAGAATTCTCTGAGTCTAGGCAGTTGTATACTTCTATTGTATCCCGTGATAAGAAGTACTCTTGAATGATGGCTTGAGCCTTCATCTTAAAAGATTTCGCTACACCCTCCTCAAGTGGCCTTTTCTTCGGCTCTACTGATAAGTACTTTAAGGAAGAAACTGATAGCCATCCTTCAGAAGCACATTTTGAAATTAAGGAATGAAGAATCTGTCTAGCATTCGGTATATCAAGTGATAAATCATCTATGGTTTCAATCACTCGATTAAATCCTTTATTTATCTGACTTGAATTTATCAGTCCTTCTTTTGCTACCATTCTTAATAGCTCTAAGATCTTACCTTCAGCTTTTTGTCTCTCCATTGCAAGTATCAATGCACGCTTCATTATTTCGTGATGAAAATATGGAACATTAAGCTCTTTTATACACATACAAGCCTCTTTCTTATCACCACTAACAACAAATTCTGTCAACAAAGTAGTAATATTTGCTTTGACATCTTCAACTGTCTTATTCTTGCTTCCACCCCATCTTTTTTCGATTATCTCTGTATGATATGGGATCGATAAATAACCCTTTTGGGTCCTCCTTATAACTTCAACTCCCTTGGAATCCTTTGGTAAAATAATCATTTTCTTAGTTAAAAATATAGGGGGTAGAATATCATCTATAATAGCTCTTGCAATAAATAGAGCTAATGTATCAACGACATTTGGTATATCCACAACTAAATCATCAACACATTCAACCAGTTTTGAAAAGCCTTTATAAACTTGTGAAGGGCATATCACATCGGCGTAGAGAGAAGATAGTAACACTGCAGCCATCTCTTTCTCCTTGTTGTGTCTATCCATGGCCATCGAGACAAGTTTCTTAACAAAACAGTAATCATAATTTGGCATCCCGAGCTCTCTTAATTCATTTGCTGTTGAAACAACATCATCATTTGCAAAGTACTCTTCCACAATTACAACTGATTTTTTCCTATACTCGTCCATTTCTATGCTTCTTGTTCTTGGAGTTAATAACTCAAATTCCTGTAATTTAATAATTAATTTATATCACTATTATAATCATTTTACTTTAAATTATGAAGTACAATATCCAACAAATATTGTTTTGATAATCTATATTTTCCTTAACTTGGGTACTTCATGACTTCATACACATGTATGTTTAAAATTGTTAGATTTTTCTATGGTAAGTAAACCTTTATTATGTTTAAATTTTGGTCCACATTAAATAAGTTTTAAATGTCCATACACTTGTATAAGTGGTTAGAATCAAACTTGAGTATATGAGGCCGGTGAATTGAAGAGTCGAGTTGTTAACATCTTTAACAAAGTGATCATAACTAAATACAAATTTTGACAAATTCATGGTAAAATACATACTTTGAATGAAATGAAAAGACTTAAAATATATTTTTTTACATAGTGTTTCACAATTTAAATTGACCATGCAATAACTATTTCTCATTTCCCCCAAAATTAATCATCGTTCTTTCTTGTCTTGATTTTTTTTAACTTGAGCAGCTAATAACGTGCGTAGCTAGCCATGTCCATAAGTTCTTTCATTTTGCATTGTTAGTATCATTAATTAGAAAAAATGTGTAAACAACTATTTTAAGGGGTATAAATGTCCACATTAATGAGGACAAACATTTAAATAAACATTTTAGGGACATAATCGTCTTAATACTATTCAAAAGTGTGGTCATACTTTTAAAAGGGGTTAATACGTAAATCAACATTTTATGGGTACAATAGTCTCAACACTATTCATTAGAGTTTACCCATACTTTTAAAAAGGTTGGGAAACATGTTCAGTTTTTAATTTCTACACAAAATAATTGAGAAATTATATGAAAAATAATGAAGAAATTGTCTAAAATTATTACCTCATAATTTTTGTAGTTGAATCCATTATAGCCATAGTCATAATTATTCTTTGTATTTGATATTCCTCCACATTTTCCTTTTCCATCAAACACACCTATATAACACATTAAATTATTACAAAATAATTTTATACATTAAAATACGAGGTTGATAACCAAGATGTGGGACCTAATATCGTCTACATCATTTACTTTTGCATAATTGCATGTGTAGCTTTCTCTACATTATAAACAAATAGAAATCGAGAATTATTATTACCTTTTGTCGGACTTTCTTTGGCCGATTCCAATAATATGTCTTTAATCTTTGGAGATATGGGGGACTTAGGAGAGAATTCATGTGATTTCATGAATATTGCAAATTTTAAAGGAGGATCAACACTTTCCCTTGTTGCATTAGGAGATTCTTGATGTTCCTTTGTCATTAAATTGTCTTTGAACTCCGTGTAAACAATCAAAATTTGACTCTTATATTTGTCCTAATTTATCTTATGACATCATAACATAATTACCTTTATATAAATCATACAATCTGTAAAACAAATTATTAGAGCTTGTTATCGTTAATTAGCAAAACATGTAAATAAATAAAAATCATTTTGTACAAGATTATATAAACAACATAAATTTATGACGTTCCAAATGCCCAAATTATTGATATTTAATTGTTGTTAATTAATGTAATAAACTAGTACTTTGTATGTATATAATAATTAAGCCTGACAATTAAAGGTTACATTTTTGTAAAGGTTGATCAATAGCACATTATAATATGATCCTAAGGATTTTAAAATCAAGTTTCCAAAACTAATAAATAAATCTCAAATCTGTACTGTTTTAAGTATTGTCAATTCAATGCCACAATGTTTTAAATTGTAATAAACTGATAGTGGAATTTAAATTATTTTAACTAAAGTTGCATCTTCATAATGGATAAACTATCAAATAAAAGATATGGCTACTACAAGAGATTAAGTTAGCTAATTAGATTTTTAAAGAATAATAACAAACTTACAAAATTTTTACTTGATGTAATGTATCAACTTTTTTAATGTTGGAGTGGAGCAAAATGACTTGAGTTTTTATATTTATTAATTGTAATAAGTTTGTTAGATGTTAAACAGATAAATTGTAATAGATGACTAAATTTGGTCAGTGAGTTTTGGTTCAGTTAGAAATCAACATAATTTTGACAAATTAATCAATTTAGTGGCTAAAGCTACCCTTAATTTGTGCTTTAAAAATAGAGGAAGAAAAAAGTCCGAAAAAGTTGTTGGTCTTACAACTAAAAATGTTTACTAAAGTTTTTGAAAGTGGTCAAATTTATTTGAGTATAACCAAAATTTATGGGTATAATCTATTTTTATCCTCTATTTCCATCTAGAGGACTAGTGTAAGATGTATTGTATTATGGCTTATTACTTATAATTTTCATTTTTCATATTAGTACAATAATAATGAAGTACATTTATAAGGGTTGTAGATAACATTAAATGCATTTCTTAATTCTTAATATTATATACATTTTTTGTCAGAAAAATATATTTCATCCGTTTCTTTTTACTTGCAGCACAACTTCTAAGCACGCTTTAGGAGATAATTAGTGAAGGTTAATGAGCGATTTTATCAAAACCATTTTAACATGAGGATTAGAGCAGAGTTAGGTATCACATGTAAAAATTATTTTGAATAATATGTCCATTATTTACATTTTATAATCTCAACCTTAAAGAACGTGTCATAGGGTTGTGTTGCAAGTAAATAAAAATGGAGGATGTATATATACACATTTTAAATTTATGATAAAATCATATGTTGATTGGTCCTCCATTTTATTGCTCTCTAAGATTTTGATATAGGACTAGATTTATCATTTTTTTTAATACACTACTCGAATTTATCAATATGGTTTTTTCACCAAATGCCCTTGAACTTTTCAAAAATTCACCAAATACCCTCAAGTTTTTCAAAATTCACCAAATGCCACTGATGTTTGTTAATATTCACACTGTGACCTATAGTGTTAAAGTTCCGTTAGCAATAAAATTTAATTCACCAAATGCCCTATCTTTGTTAAATAATTACACAAAATACCCTTATTTTTTGAAGTACAATGTCTAGTTTGAAATTTAAAGAAACTAGCCGTTAGTTTTGATTTTCACCCTTTTTTTTGCATAAATACTCGATACATAGCATCTCTCTTATTTGCTTAACCACAAATTTTTAACACCATGAGTTATCAATCTAAATAATCCTCCTCAATGTATGAGTACTTTTGTATAAGAGTTGCAAACATCCTCTATTCATAAAAAGAAGTGTCGAAGACCTCGCAAATAGAGAAAAAGAGGGCCAAATAAAATAGAGGTGATTACTTACGGGCTTGGACGGAAAACGGATCGGGCTATAGTTCACATTTTGTCCAACGGACTTGATATAACAAACTCAAGTCTCTTTTATGCGGCTTGACAATTAGTCTATACCCACCCTAGTAAACAGTCTGGGCTTGTCCGCGGACTAGCTAGCGGACTCAGAAGTTCTTATTGCAAATTTTCTTCTACTACAACAAATTTTTTTTTGCAACTCTTAAGATTGATTTATCAAGGAGTTAAAAAATTGTGGTTAAGCAAATAAGAGGATGCTATGTATCGATTATTTATGCAAATAAAGGGTGAAAATCAAAACTAACGGCTTGTTTTCTTAAATTTCAAACTAGACATTGTACACTTGTACGTCCAAAAATAAGAGTATTTTGTGTAATTATTTAACAAAGTTAGGGCATTTGGTGAATTAAATTTTATTGCTAACAGAACTTTAACGTCAGGAGTATTTTGAGGTCACGGTGTGAATATTAACAAACGTCAGCGGCTGTAGACACCCATTTGTGTCTCTCCAAAACCAAACCCAGTGATGAGTACCTTTCACGTCGAATCATAATAGAATGAAGTGAAAGTGTGGAAAGTTTAGTGTTGCGGTTAGTTTTTAATTCTTTTCTTTCTCTCTGTTTTTGAAAGCCTATTTTAAGAAAATAGCCAATCCAGTTTGGTTAGGTCCATATCAAGGGTCCAATAATAGTATAGTTGGATGGGGTTCAAAAAGAGCTTTCCAACAATATATTATAAGCCCAATTCCGATGAATAATGAGGAAGTTATGGCCAAATTACTAAACTGGACCCGGTTTGATATTTATGTGCGGCCTAATGATCTAGAGGAGGGCCTAATATTGATATATCATTCCTAATGCAATTACAATTGGTTACAGTCTTCTAGATTCGTCTAGAAGGTTCTTTTCATTCCTAATTTAATTAGCATTGATAAATTGACTTTAGTTGACTTTTTAGAGTTTTAATTAGAATAAAAGAAGTGTTTTTAAGGAAAATACGATTTTGCCCTTCTGTACGGCTAAAGTTTATCAAAATTAAGAAAACGCGTGAAACTGGTTCGTAGTGCCTGACGACGGGATTAGCGCCTGGCGCTAATGTCTGGCGTCTGACGCTAAGTCGTTTTATTCTCTTCGAAAATGTGATTCGTTTTTCTATCCATCCGGCTGATTTTCTCTATAAATAGCCTCCTAAAACCTCCGTTTTCAATCATCAACAACAATCAATTTTATTACTCTCACTAGTTTTCAAGATTCTCAAGATTCTTCCTCTCTCTCTCTTTTCTAAACAAGCTTTTCGCATACAAAATTCCGCATTCACAAGATCTAGAAACACCTAGCAGTGTTCGAAGTTGCCTTCGCCCTAGACGTGAAAGGTTTTAATTTCTGAGGGTTTGGTCCCTAATCTCTCTTTCAATTATTTAATTTAATTTTTTTATTTTATATTTTTCTTAAAGTTACTAACGTGTGTATTTTGTTATTAGAAAGAGATACTAGGCATCCAAGTAAGTGCTTTAACTGATTTATTGATATTATGATTTAGAAATCATGTCTAGGTTGTTATTATGATTCCTGGTATCATGTTAGGACGTTTTGATCTTCCTAGTATCATGTTTAGGGTAATAACTATAATTCCTAATATCAAATATGACAATTGTAATTTCTGCGATGCTTCCTATTTCTTTCCTAATATTCATGTTAGTATCATGTTAGGGCTATATATTTGATCTTTGATGCTTAGTGACATGCTAGGGTTTGTTATTAATCTTGTTAGTGTCATGCCTAGGATCTTGCTATTATGATTGTTTTTATGATTATTTTAATTATTATTATTATTATTATTATTATTATTATTATTATTATTATTATTATTATTATTATTATTATTATTATTATTATTATGGTTAGGTTTCAAACTCATTGCATCTTATTGTGCCTAGGGGTGTACACCGGTCCAAAACCGGACCGGACCTGGACTGGACCTGTTTGGACCGGGGACCTGAATTGGGTAATTATGAGGACCGGGGACCGGACGTGAATTAACAGGTCCGGTTCCGGGCTAGACCTGAAAAATCAGGTCCGGTCCAGGTTTGGACCTGAATGGACCTGTTTTGTGATTTTTTCGTTTTTTTTTTATTTTTTTTAACAAAAAACCTGTTGGACCTGCATATGGACCTGCGTATGGACCTGTTTTGTGATTTTTAAACCTGTTGCATAATTTAATAATTACATACAAACCAAAATTATTAATCACAAAAGTACAAAACTACATAAAGTCTATAAAAGTATAAAGTCCCAATTCTCAAACACCAAAAATACAAATGAGTCCACCGAAAGTACAAATGAGTCCACGAAAACTCATAACATTACATAAATTCTCTTAAGTCTCAAGTACTAGAAATATATAAATTCTCCAACGAGTTGTTTTCCCTTTGATCGCGTGATTCACACTAATGAGTCCACGAAAACAACTTCATCGTCTACATCGTTAGATTCACCACGTTGCACCTCTAAATAAAATACAATATAGAATATGTTAGAATATATTAATGATTGATAACAATGAAATAATAAATTTGGTGTAACAAAATTTCAAGTACATAAAATTATTACTACCTTTCTCTATTTCCTCTAGCTCTTTCAAATTTTCTTCCACATCAACAATTGGCACTTCCTTAGCTCTAAGCCAATCTTGTGTGCAAAGTAGCGCTTGAACCATCTTCAATACAAAAATATTACACAAATATGTATAAACAAAGTCATATTAAGATATAAACAAACTTGATTTTATAAAATAAAAAGATAACGATGCATTACCTTAGGAGTTAAAGAACTCCGAAATGGATCTAGAGTTCGACCTCCCGTACTAAAATCAGATTCCGATGCAACGGTCGATAATGGGATGGCTAGTATGTCACGTGCCATGCGATTAAGAATCACATAACGCTGACCATTCTTACCCCACCATGTCAATGCATCTTGTTCTTCCTCCTCCGGCCCTAATTGATCATTTAAGTACCTATCCAACTCACTTATCGCATACCCACT